ACAAGTCTGAACCCTGCTCTATACTGAGCCAAACTTATTGTCTGATAGAGTACTTAACTACTTGTGTCACTCAAGAGATTCCTTTAATAGTTTATGCTATTGTTGTCAAGTACCAATGAGTTGATTTTTCACTCAAAGCAACCCGATGTAACAAGGCAGAATTGCCTTGTAAGTTTTCTTGGCCATAAACCCTAAGGAAGCAGATTACCATTCTTTTTCTCTCACAAAACCACTGAATGGATCTCAATTATCCAATTTTTCTATTAGCAACAAAATGCTTAACCATTTATGCCACAAAGGTTCCATAATAACCATAAATAAAAACATATCCCTTGTTATTAAGTCAATTCAGACTAAACAGAGACTTGCAGAGCAGAGCTTCCCAGTAGGGTTTCTAAAGCTGTAATCATTAGGAAATCAAGCTGCCACAAAGCAGATGGTGGATTCAAACTACCCACCTTTCAGTTAGCAGTTGCATACTGGACCACTGCACGACCTGCACCCCTCTAAAGAGCTATGAAACTTAAATTATTGCAGTTAAGTTGGAACTGACACTCAATTGGGTTTCTGAGGCTATAAAATACACGCGAGAGTCCATCTTTCTCCGGCAGAGACATGGTCTTTGGATTAAAAGCATATCTCCTGGTGGACTATGCCAACAGAGCTCCCAGCTTAACAGCTATGGTGCTGTTGTTGTTATGTATTGTTGAGTCCAAATCAACTCCTAGCTGACCTTCCAGTGGGTTTTCAGATGTAGTAAAATTGTGTAGGAGGACACTGATCATCTTTCTCTCATGAAGCAGCTGGTGGATTCAAACAGCATAAGGGTTGACAGGGCAAACCCCTTACCAGTAAGCCACCAGAGCTCTCTCTATAGTACAAGATTAATTAATTAAACAGTATAAATCTGTAAAAATGCTATCTGTTTTAAAACTTTAGATTTATAGACATAGGGGAGCTCTTGCTATATACTTTCAAAAGATAGAACTTATTGCTTTCCAAAATTTTTTTTAAAATAATATTCATTTGCTTAAATTTAAAATTAGCAAGTTCTACCACCACAGAATTTCCTATTTCTCTTTTAGCATTTGTCACTATTATAGTTCATAAGGTGTTTTTTATACAACTGTTTCTCCATCAGATTACAAGTTCCTTCAAAGCAGAAATATGTTTTCTTTCTATCATTATGTCTAGTAAAGTATCTGACTTTTAGTGGGCCCTCAATAAATATAGGAAGATAGCAAGAACATATACAAGAAAGATTACCAAAGAAGGAAAAGAAAAGGAGAAAAAGATGAAGGAGCAAGAAAGAAAGAGTCAAAGAGCACATGATGAGGAGGAGAGAATGAAAGCAGAGACCCACCAAAACTGCACAAGAAAGGTAGACCAGGAAAGGAGAAGTAATCTGTGGGAGAAGGAAAAAGAAACTAGGAAAAAAAGGTGAAAGGGGGGTGGGGGGAGAAAGAAACAGCTAGAGAGGTTAAGAGGTGGAGAAAAGAAAGAGAAAGCTTAACTAAGTGATAAAGGGTAAAGGGACAGAGCAAGAGCAGGGAGAAAAAAAAGGTCAAGGAGGAAGAATGCAAGAAGGAAATAAAGAGAAGAGCAGGAGGGAGAAGAATGAGGAATGGCTAAAAATCATGCATAAAAGCCCAAATAGGAGAAGGAACAAAAGAGGGGAAGGAGAGCTCAGGAGAGGATGAGAGAAAGAGAATGAATATGAGGCTGAGAATCAGAGAAAAAGAGGGAGAGAAATTAGGAAGGACAGATGAAGAGAGGAGAGAAAATAGGTGAGAATGGTCATGGGGAAGAGAAAAGTGGAGGAGTTAAAATGGTAACAGGAAAGAATTGGCCAGGAGGAGAGAGAAGGAAGTGGGAAAGTGAAAGTAGGGGAAAGAAAACCTTAGTTTAAGCTTTGTTTCCAGAAAAATAGAACTAAGTGGTCAAATAGGGTATGAAATGACAAAAGGAAAAGCACACACAACATAAATCAAATAGCCAAATCAACTGCTTCCTCATCTGAAATGGGAAACGTCAAACTCTGCCTCTCTTAGCTCAGAAGAAAGAACAGATAATTCCGTATAAGACCTTCAGCACAGGAAAGCACTCATCAAATACAGCTGAACCTTTAACATGTGGGAAGTAAGGGCACCAATCTCCCAATACCTGAGCTCATAATAGCAATGGGGGCGGATCACATATAAATGGACTTGCACAGTTCAAATTCATGTTGATAAAGGACCTGCTTTTTCTGATTATTTGCCAAAAGGAAGCAAAATCATAATAAAGATTCTATATAAATGCAGGGAAAACATGAGACATAATATATATTAGGAAATCATATTTTTAAGTAATTTAATAATTTAATAGTAAAATATCACCTCCAAAAAGTAGAAAGAAAGAAAAAATTCCAGTATTAGGGGTTTGATCCTCTTCTTCAAAAAACAAATATATTAACAATGAAGAAATTCTGCTATGTAGTAACAATCTTAACTTAAAACATTTTAATAAATAAATATCCTACCCCAAGCCTAAAACAACAACAACAAATTTAGATGCACAAAACAAAGTATTTCTTGCAGATTCCAATTGTAAAATATTCAAATGAAACTAACATATGTCGTCAGGGAAGTGGCATCCCTTGGAGAGAATGCAGGAGAAAGTTCCTAGGGTGCAAGTGATGTAAATCAGTTCACTTTATGAAAGTTCACTGAGTTTAACAAAGATTTGTGAGTTTTTCTATATATCTTGTATTTCAATTAAAAAATGTTTTTTTAAAAAGTCTTACCCATAAGAGAAAGCATCATTATCTCTCCATTTGGAAATAACAGACGCTGCCAATCCAGCCAAAATGGCAGTGCTATCGAAAAACATGTGAAAAGAGTCGGAAATCAAGCCTAAGCTGAAAAAGAACAAACACATTGATATATTATAACAAAACCAACCAGTAGGTAGCACCATCCAAAAATTCAATATCCACTCTCTAACCATAACAGTGAAATATGATACATAATGATGTTAAGGGCTATTTTTAAATATATAAAAACAAAACACTTCCCAAAGAAAAGCTCAGCCACCACCATGTAAAGAGCGAGTAGAAGAAAAATCTGTCCCTTGCTGGGTATGGGATATGCATCTGCCCACTCTCTATCAGTGGCAAAAACCAGCTGCCACAGAAAAGCAGGCAGGAAAGTGGCTTTCTGCTACTGGGGGTGAACAAAACAATACACTGGCATCTAGGGCCTTACACTGATATAAAGCATTTTAGAGTGAGGAGCAGGAAACCCACTCCAGTCCAAGTACCCACCCAAACTTGGCACAAAGATCTTTATGAGGGAGTTAGTAAAAGAACATTTCTATTACCCACCCAATCGGACTCAGGTATTCAAGAGTAGGAGAAAGGAGACTCCCTCCCCGCCTTCAGAGCCCCACCTCAAGTAAGAGCACTAAATAAAGGCAACAGATCTCCTACTGAGATCAGAGCAGGAACACAAAGAGGAAGAAATTCTTTTGTGGCTCAGGGCACTCAGGGCTCCTTGAAAGCTGAGAATTTAGCAAAGAAAAACCCTCCTAGTTAATCCCATACTAAGCACAAACAGTAGAAGCCTGTCACTAGGAAAAAATCAAAGTGTGTGGCATGCTGAAAATAACTGGCCACAACAAAGTGCAAGTTATCTCAAATGCAAACTCAGCCTATTGACCAGACAGTTTCACACCCTCCAACATCCTAACAATAGCAACAACAACAACAAAAAAAGTCACTTCTGTGCTCAAATACTAACTTCAGTTTCTAGTATTCTTTTAGACATACTGTCAGCATGCAATAAAATTTCCTTAGACATGCAATAAGATTTCCCTAGACACATAAGATCAAAAAAGGGAATAAAGTGCTAAATCAGTCAAAATGGACCAGATGTTAGCTTTATCTGATCAGGACTTTTAAAAAAAGTATGTCTTACATGCAAATGATCTACTATAAAAGAGTGAACATTTCATGAACCAATAAAAAATTTCTTCAGACAAAAGAATTAAACAAAAGGAATAGAAATAGTAAAATTTTAAAAATAAAATTAAACAAATTAATTAAACAGAAATAATAAAATTTTTAACTCACCAAATCTAGAAAAAGAAAAGTCATTTACATGGGCTGAACACAGAGAGGAGAAGTGAGACAGGTCAAAAGAAATTATGGGTCAAGATTCAAACTTACACTCATCGCTTTCAAGTCAGTTCCTACACAACATCTATTAGCTGACCCTCCACTAAGTTTCTGAGACTGCAAATTCTGTGCAGAAGCCAGTGCTAGATTCAAACCGGAATATAGGTGCTGCCTTTGAGTTAGCAACACAATTCTCTAAGCACTATGCCACCAGAGCTCCCTAAAATACAGATAATTATTCACAAAGAAGATAAAAACCAAAAAAGTCTAAAACCCAAACAGCAAAATGTATTACAAAAGCAACCAATGCTTTTGTAGAGAATACTGAACAGATAAAAATGTACAAGCTGGACTTTCAAAATGGGAGAAGGAAAAAGACACGGTAGAAACACATATTTAAAGAGAAAAGTATGAGAATACTCCAAAATAAACACTGGAAACAAAATCACAGATCAAAGAAGTTCAATGAATTCCAACCTGGATAAACAAAAAACTTGTTGTTGTTGTTATATGCCGTGAGTCGCCTGAAGACTCATAGCAACCCTATGTACAACAGCCCTAAATCCTGCTCTATCCTGTGCCAATCTTATTGTCTCTGACACACCCATCTCCATTACCCCAGACAAAGAATCAACCAATCTCTTCAAGGGTCTTCCTCTCCTGCGTTGTCCCTCTACCCTCTGAAGCATGACGTCCCTCTCCAAGGACTGGTCTCTCCCTGTAACATGTCCAAAGTATATCAGATAAAGCTTCAGAATCCTTGCTTCGAAGAGGAAGCCTGATTTCACCCTCTCTAGGACAAACCTGTTTGTTCCCCTATCAGACCATGGTATAATCAATACTCTTCTCCAGCACCACAGCTCAAAGGCATCAATTCTCCTTCTATCATCCCCAGTCATTGTCCAGCTCTCTCATGCATAGCAAATAATTACAAAGACCATGGCCTGTCTCAGGCACACACATCATTGTCCTTCAGTACTTTGGAGAGGTCTCTGACAGCAGACTTTCCCAAAACAGTATGTCTTTTAATTTCCTGGCTACTGGTACCAAGAGTGCTGATAGTGGAGCCAAGCAAACCAAAACTGTGAACAATTTCAATCTCGTCACCATCCATCACAATGCTGCCAACTGGACTAGTGATGAGAATCTTGTTTTCTTGATATTGCAGGCTACAGTCCTTGACCTTTTACAGCAAGCACTTCAGGTCCTCCTCAGTTTCAAATAATCTTATATACTACTAAATGCCAAAATGAAATAAAAACACTCAAAATCAGCCAGAAGAGAAAATTAAAAGAAAAATGTGGAGAATCAAGATGGCAGCGGTAGCGTAAGGAGCTGGAGATGCAGTAAGCTGCACAGAAATGGGCCACAATGACCCTCCACAGCCCACAGCTTATCTGTAACTAAACAATTATTCAATATGGATTGAGGCTCAACATCAAGAGGACAAAGATTCTCAAAAGAAACATGGGTTTGCTCCCTTGCCTATATAAGTAACCTTAACACTGAGTCTTGATCCAGACCTGAACCATAAGCCCAGTTAGAGAGACAAAAGAAAATATAACTGCCAGCTAAGGAAGCGACGGAGGATGGAGCCTCAGGGTTCAGACAGCCATTCCCCACTGGACTCACCTTGGCAAACACTCTGCAGTCCAGAGGGCAGAAAATGTCAGGAAAATATCTTCTAACAGAACAAGATGGCATGCAGCTTCAAACCAGGATCACCGTAAAGTGTTAAAGTGGGCTCCCCTTACCCCTTCACCCCAATGCTCCAGTTCAGCATGAAGAAGCCAAGAGTCTGTACCCCATTCCCAGATGAGAAACCCACAAGTGAATAAGGCAATTTCTTTGTTAAAAAAAATAAAGAAAGAAAGAAAAAGAAATAAAATGTGATCACCAGGCTGTACTGAGAAATTTGGAGGACAGCTAACTAATAGTTAAACTGACTGGAAGAGATCCATATTTATTCCCATTTCCCAAAAAAGTGACCGAACAGAACGTGGAAATTATTAATCAGTAAGCAAAATCTTTCTGAAGATTATCCAAAAATGACTAGAATAGTACATCAACAGAATCGCTAAAAGTTTAAGCTGGGTTAAGAAGAGGCCATGGCACTATGGATATCATTGGTAATGTCAGATGGATGTTGGCTAAACGCAGAGACAACCTGAAGGATACCAGAAGGATGTCTATTTGTCTTTTATCAACTATGCAAAAGCATGTGACTGAGTAGATCACAATAAATTGTGATCAACACTGAGAAGAATGGGAATCTCAGAACACTTGACTGTGCTCATGTAAAAACTATACTTGAACCAGGAAGCAGTCATCAGAAAAAAGCAAGGAAATATGTCATGGTTCAAACTCAAGAGTGTACCAAGGATATATTTTTTCCTCACCTTTTCTATCTATTTATGGAATAGATCATTTGGAAGGCTGAACTTTTCAAAGAAGAATGTGGCATCAAGATTAGAGAAATAATCATCAACCCAAGTTATGCAGATGACATAACCTTGCTTGTATTAATATTATTTACCTATATGTTGTCTCGCTGGAGAAGCTCAATATCAGCTGTGAAAACTAGGCCAGG